CGGGGACTGCGGTGGCGACGAGCCCGAGGTGGCATCTTGTGTGGTGGGGGGACAGCCTGGCCGAGCTATAAGGCTCGGGCCATTTGAGGCACGACCCTACCCAGGATTTCGGGGCGCAGCGGGGCAGGTTTGTCGGCTACAAGCCCCACTGGGCGGTGCCTCCTCCCCAATCCCAACGCACTTCGTTTGACTCGGCTGTTGCTTTTTGGGTTTCTGGTCTCTTTGCTCAAACCAGCAGGTCTGCGTGGGCTTGGTTCACAGCGCACGTGTTTCCCAGACCTTTTCCAGCGACGCAGGAGTCACTGGAGAGGCTTCTTTCCCCATGCACACCCCAAACTCCTGAGCAGCTGCTGCAGGCAGACACAGGTGCTGTGGCTGGACCTAGAGGTGGACGTGGCTCCTGCCAGGCAGCAGGACAAACCTCGTGCCTGGGTTTCTCACACATTCATAAGCAGTGTTATTTTTAGCAAGACAAGTCGTTTAAGATCCTACTTCTTCCCTCCCTAGGGAGGCGGAAAGGTTTCTGTTTATAATCCACTCCTGCCAGCATGGCAAACCCTTTTTTTGTCCTCCTAGTTATTGTTTTAGATGCGTGTTATTTAGAGGCCCGTACCAGAAAGAGGAAAACACACACCAGGGTTTCCCCAGTGTGGAGCAGACAATTTCCTTCTTCCCTCACCTCAGGTGCGGGCAGGGTGGAGTTGCTACAGCTGATTCCTTATATAAAGGGCAGGTTGAGGCACAAGCTGTCCCTAAAGAGGGGATGTGGGAAATGTCAGAGCAGCTGATGTGGAGCCTTTCTTGTCCTAGAAGGGGTAAGAAAAACTGCTTCTACAGTTTACTTTGTTCTTGTGTCTTTATCAATATGAATATGAAAACTGAATGCTAGCATCAGATTTAAATATTATCTGGTACAATCTGAGCTATAATAGCAGAGAAGCAGACTACATAGGAGTAATTAATTGTTCCTCTAGCTATCTTGGAGATGCACAGCTAAAGTAATCACAGTTATTATGAAGTGGGACTTTCTTAAGGTGAAATACACCATTGGGAGGAGATGAATTTTAAACATGTTGGAACCTGAGCCTCTGCTGTCACCTGTTGGTGATCAAGCTGGAGTTAGAGTGCTGTGATGCTGAGTTGGTGTTGGCGAAGTTTGAATTTGTTCAGTAACTGCATGGAGAGGCTCCGCCCTGAGGGACATCAGGCACCAGCAGCAATTCGAGGATAAGTGTGGAATTGGCTGGAGCCATCTTCAGGTGAAGGCATAGTTCTGCGGTGAGACCTCAATTTGGCAGAGAGCTCAAGGCAGGTGTTTGGATGCCTTCACACAGGCAAGGGCTTTGCTGAATCAGGCAGTGATGGAAAGCTTATTTGTCAAAGAAATGAGAACGGCTTAGGGATTATGAGATATTATAGACTTGGTATTGACAGAGATATCTGCATTTAACATATCTGTTGATAGGAGACAGTGACGGAAGCTGTCCCTCTTTCTCTCTGGGGCTGTACTGGCAGGTACTGCCCTGTTCCTGGTGCAAGTGCTGTTACCTTGAGCACAAGGAGAATTGTGATCAGACTAATGTGCTATGCATCTAGTGAAGCAATGGACAGGCTGAGGCAGAATCATTCCTTTTGTATTTATTTGGCTATAATTCTGTTAGCATAGCTTTTTAAAACCAAAGAAGAAAAGCTATTGCCTATGACTATCGCTGGATCCAAGGGCCGTGGTGCCCAGCACAGTGTTGTGGTCCTCGTTGTGTGGATGCTCTGGGGAAAGGGACCATGTCTCACTGGCACTTCTCAATGGGAGGCACTGAATGCCTTTTTACGAGCATCACAGTCTGGAAAAGTACTGAGATGAGGCCCAACCTATAACAAAAAGAGAGACAGGCAATTGGTTACAGCGAGCAGCTGGTCAAAGAAAATAGGTCGTAGCACAAACAGGGAAGAGACTGCAGGTTAGTACAACGGGGTTTGTGTTTGGTTTTTTTGGGGGGGACTTGCTCTAGTTAAACACCTCATCTGTTTAAAATGAGGTCTAATTTTCTGATTGACTTCAGGAGATTTTTATTCTGCTTTAGTAACAGGATCCTGTAGTCCTAGTGTGTGGTTGTCTGACGTTTTCAAGTGCTGGCATGCCCTAACGTGGACCCTGAAATACATTTAACTCGTTTTCTACAACACAGAACTTGTGTGCTGAAGGGGCCAGGATGGGCTCAGAGCTCCCAGGGAAGCCGCTGTCAGGGTCTGGGACTTTTGCATGACCTGCCCAACAAACATACAAGCAGCCTTTCCCGGAAAATCACCTTCAAGACAGGGAAGAGGTGAATGACAAATAAACCAAGGGGAAGTAATCTGTGGGAGAAGGGTCCCAGGGCCCTGGGGTGAGCAGTGGGACTTACACACAGCCACATGCATCAAGCATAGAGTAGATGCAGAGTTACTGAGGGAGGTGTGTGTGTCTTCATGTATGGAGTGTGTTTACCTTGGGGGGGCAGGGGCTTTACTTGCCCCAATGCAATTCCCTGTGCTGTATCTCTCTGCCTTGTGTGGATGTGCTGAGCTGCTCCCACTTCCCCCACCCTGCTCAGGCTGGCTGGATGTCAGGCTTTGCATATGTGAAAATACACAGCAGTCTTTGCCCTGAAAAGCTTTCTAGTGATCTCATTAATCAAGACAAACAAAGCGTATTTAGCTGTTCTCCCTCTTTGGAGGAAGGTGCTCAGATACTTAAATATGCATTTGAGTGCCTAACTTCAGACAGTCGTTTCTGGGTGTTTTTGCTTTCTCACAAGTAGCAGCAGTGATATAACTCCTCTTCAGGAGGGAAAGGTGAGAGAGACAGAGCCAAGTGCTGCTGAAGTCCGTGGGCAGCCCCTGGGAGCTGGCAGGGACAATCCTCAGCTGGGCCAACTCCCATTAAAGATGCAGGAGTTTTTCCCTCACAGCTGGGATTGTTAGAAAAATCTGGTACTTGCACATAAGGGCATCTGAGCTGCTTCTTTTGAATGTGCTTCTGCCTTCCCCATCATGCTCCCTGCCCACTGGCACTGGGAACTGGGCAGAGGGAAATTTTTGCCTGGGATTGGGTTGGAGCTGCAGGAGAGGAAGTAGCATTTCATTCACTTCAGTCTTGGTACAGAGCTCGCAGGTGAGAAATGCCACAGACTCGCAACTGGCAGTAATTAAAATTAGCGGACCTTGACAAAGTTGAGGGATGCCAGCTTCTGCCCTCAGCATGAGTAAGTGGGAAGCACCAGGTGTAGGACAGGGGACAAGTGCTGTTTTTTAAAAAATGAGAAACCTCCTCCAAATGAGGGCCAGTAATTAGAGTCAAGACAAGAGCGTCCTTGGGTCAAAGGTCTTATGACAGAGATTGGTGTTGTGAAGTCAATGCCAGTGATGAATCCTCATCTCTGATTCTTCTAATTCATATTTTAAATGATGAACCCAAAGGTACTTCCCCTAGAGACAGCTGATGATCTTTACCATTACTCTGATGTGCTTATGAGCTCTTATGCCAGGATTTTGTCTGAATTGTGGATTTTAAGCATTGGCTGTAACAGGACAGGAATATAGTTTGTAGGCACAAGCTTGGTGGTGTTCTGCAAGGGATGATGGAGCTGTAAAGGTTTTCAGCTGTTGATTAGAAACAATGTTTTACTGTTGTTGATTGCGCTTGTTACTGACAAATTAACACCTGCAGCTGGGGTCTTGTAATGTCAGTGCTTGCTTCAAAGACTTTGAGGGGCAGTAAAAAACCTTCAAAACTTAGCACTTCTAAAACTTAAATATGTATTGGGGGGTGGGAGGTGTTAGAGGTGGTATTTTCATTTGGGTTTCTCAGTTCTGATAATGTTTTAAACCAGAGAACTCTTAAATGATCACTTATCAAGCATTAGTACAACCACACGCATGTTGCAAGCAGAAGCGGGTATGTTAATAGAGGATAATAAATTGCATGCCAGCTACAGAGAGGCTAAGCTGCTGCAGGGAAGGCAGAGCTCCCCAACAGCAGCAGAGCACAAACCCCAGAGACCAGCCAGGGTTTTGTGGGTGCTGGTGGTGTTGGGGTGTGTTTTGTAGCTGCTGGATAATGTGAGCACCCTTGGGTGGGCGTTAAGCTTACCTTCTGGTGGGAAGCTTAAATTAATATAGCCGGATTAAATGGTTTATGATGATTTGTAGGTGTTCAGAAAGAATCCGTGAAAAGGGCTGAGCCGAGAAAGAAGCAGCATCAGGCTCTCCTCCTGTCCTGGAAGGTTTCATGCTTGGCTGCAGGGAGACCTGGCTGTACCTGTTCCTCTCCCAGCCCTTGCCTGGCTCTGCCCCTCTGCTCAAAGGCAGCTTCCCAGCCTTGTATGATTTTTCACTTTAACAACAAAGCCGCCCCTAGACTCAGCCTAGTTTTTCCATCATCCATTTGATTGAATCCTTTTAGCGGGTGACAAAACACTTTCTTGAGCTCTCTTTATGGGAAACTGATCTCTATTCCTTTTTCAAAACCTCCCTTATTTACAGGAGTCTAACAAATCCTAGGTCTGTTTGTTTTGCATGTGTTGTTTGTTTTTTGTTTTTTGTTTTTTTTTCCCAAACACAAAATAGCAGTGCCATGTCTGTAGATTTTTTTTTTTTCGGGGGGGAGGAGGGAATAAAATGCACAATATGGATTGGGGTAGGGTGTACACACCGATGCACGCCGCGTTGAGCATCCCTGTGCAGACAAAAACCACGCGCGCATCGAGATGCAAATGATTTCCGTGAAGCTATCACTTGTAAAGCTTGACAGAAAATAATGAGAAACACTAAATCTTTTATAAGGTCAACACTCAAGCAGCTGTCAAACAAGAAAAGAATTTAGCGAAAGATCCGCAAAAACTTCCATCGCCTCATTAAATCCAACAGGGCCGGGGCCCGGCGTGGTGAGGAGGCACCGGGGCGCCTCCGTTTTGTGTCAGTAATTTGCGGCGGAGGAAGAGGGAAGACGAAACAGCCAGCGCCGAAGGGGCCTTGGGGGAGGCTGGGGAATCGTTAGTGCGCCAGGAGCGGCCTCGGCTCCTAATTGGAAGCATTGGGCATTATCAACGGAGGATTTGCCTCGGCTCCCTGACAGCTCTCTAGGCCTGGAATGATAGCCCACTTGTCAGTGTAAAAGACCATTAAAAACAAACCATTTTGATTTAATTGGAGGCGGTGTGCTGGGGGCCCAGGTGAGGCGCTTCATCAGCTGATGTTGGCTGATGCCTTTTTCCCCCTGTATTGATGGCTTTTTTTTATTATTATTTTTTCCCCCCCCTCTCTCTCCCCTCCCTTTCAAAAACTGTCTAGGAAAGAGAAAGAGGTGCTGAAAGATCCTTCACAGCTGCATCTAGAGCGGCTTTCAATAGGGTTGTCAACAAATGCCATGACAAGTTAGAGAGAGGCAGGTACTTTTAAAATAGACGTTATTCTGTCCAAGATGAGCTGTGCTCAGAGGTGTGTGTTGGATTATTAGGGTTACAAATACTGTGGCTTTTCCTGACAGTAGCGCACTTAACCGGTTTAATGAATGGACTTGATTTTTCTCTCTTCACCTTTTTAATTCTAAGAACATAGGGAAATGCAGGACAAGGGAGTCTGGGCTAAATGATCCTTATTTGCTTCAAACCCAGGAAGGTTTCAAAACATGCTCAGCAATTTTTGGCTGCTATTTTTAATGGCCTGCAGAGATTTGGGTTGTTTTTTTTCCTTGCTTCCTGAAAATAAGGGCCATGGATGTCTGTTGGAGTTCACTGGTTGCTTGGTCTGGGCAAAGGGGTGAGTAAAAGAGAATTAACCCACTGGAGCTGTAACCTTGTGTGTGCCCCCCTTGGCAGATGTCCTGGGGTCAGACCAGTGCTGGAAGCTTTCACACTGACCTTGTGTGTTTCTGAGATTTGAATCCTGACCCTTTTCATGCCAAGCAAGAGTTTTACTTCAAACTAAGTTGTCTGTTGGTAAATAGCATCTCTGCAGTAGGCAGAGTAAGTCCATAAATGAAACCCCAAGTCCATTTAAAAAGCATTTTGGTAGATTTGTGTGTGTAACATTAGTTAGTACTGAAAGCAATGGCAGGTGTTCATCTGTAACCCAACGTGGCATGTGTGGTTTTACTCTACTGTGAGCCATGAGGCTGCAAGCATCCCACATCTATTCCTTCATGGGTGAATATCTCCACATCAGCAGTAGGAATTGGTTGCCAACAGTTTCTTGTGCTGCCTTTGGGTGCCAGATCTTGGATGAAGGTGGAGCCTGCCCTGGAGATGGTCCAGGCTGCAAGGCTGCCCAGGGACGGGTGCTGTTTTCTTACATCAAGTAGGAGATGCTGGAGAGTAACAAAGATGGCAGAGAAATGATGGGTTACCATGTCTCTGAGGGAGACATAAGGAACAGCTGAGCATGGCAGAGGGCAGCATTAGCGTGGTGGAGAGGCTGAGTGTCCAGGGCACACACCAAGGGTACTGGGAAAGGCTGGACTGTGGAAATGCTTTGCTGTGGTTTGAGCAATTGCATTGCTAGAAGCTTCAGCTATGAGGCAAAACAAGAAAACCTGCAGAATCTTTTTTTTAAAAAGAGTAGTGATGGTGACTGGGGTCTGGAGCCTGCATTTAGTCACAGAATGGCCGCGGTGTAGGAGGTGCTATCTCTGCTGGGGTCCCAGTGGAGGTATGCAGGGATCATACTCAGGGTAGCTGGGCATGTGCTGCCCATTTGGAACCCTGCAGAGTGTTGTATTTTCTTCTTGTGTAGTGCATGTTGGAGGCAGGTCATCACTGAAGGCCAGTGGTGCTGCTTTGGATTGTCTCTGCAGAGCTGGGACCCACCAATTCATAGTACTGAAGAGCTATCAGGTGACACTGTTTTGTTTTCGTTTTTTTTTCCCTTCTGAAGGGAGGTTTGACCTTGTACCATGATGACAAGACGATCTTGAGCTCCTTGCTTTATTTTTTAAGCACTATGTAGGCCCCAGGACACAGGTTTTATAACATTCCAACTCCAGGAAGGTTTGCTGCCCTCAAACCTGCGTGGATAAATGCTGCATCTCAAAATCCAGCCCACCGTGTGCTGTGTGCATCAAGCCTAGGTTATTTAAGCAGAGTCTATGGCTTTTCTGACAAGACAACAGTTGCAAGATTACATGAGCTGTGCTTGTCAGTTCAGCTCTTTAGACAAAAATAGAGGTAAGGCATTAAAAAAAAATGTGGAACATTTTTGTGTGTATGCGTTAAAGCTCACTGTTAATTCTGATGAAGGATCAGGCTGTGAGCAGGTATCAGATCCCTGGTGAGAATCAAATTCTGGAGCCCAGAATTTTGCTGCAAAGTTTATACAGTGGGGATTCCTCTAATTACTTTCAGTGGAAATTTACCTGACAGAGCTTTCCCAGGTAACGCAAGGCATATGCGGGAGAGCCGCTCAGCCGTTGACAGAGCCTTTGATTTTGTGCCAGGTTGCAAATTAAGTCTTTTGCCAAGGTACCCGAACACTTGCTCGTCAATTGCTTATCGCTTATTCATATCGCGCATCGAGTGCAACTCGTTTCATCTGCTCGGGAAGGCAGCGCGTGTTGACAAAAGTGTTGTCCAAAGTTGCTGCATTTTCTTTCCTCCCCCTCTTTGGTCAAGTAAACAAGACTGTTCTCCCTGGAAAGCCACCTTGGATGTCTGTGCAAGTTGGAATTCTCTAACAAGCAAAGGAAAAACCTTGGCGCGTGTCAGTGACATGTGATGCACGGAGATGTTTCGACACGTGAGTGAATTCTGTCCTGCCCTGCTGCTGTGAGAGGTGTTGCTACCTGAATCCTTCTGGACTGACTTGACCGAGCCCTGGAAATCTATTGCAGAGTGGCCAGCATTGACTTAACTGTTTGGATTTTGGCAAATATTCAGATGGAGGTAGCTGGAGCCTCACCCCGAGCTAGCCCAGGCAAGGCTGTGGGGATGCTGTGTTTTGCCAGCAACATCCCTTGCAGAGTTTCGTTGACACTAGGGATGCCACCCTGCCTGGGCCAGCATGATGGTAGCGATGAGTGATGTCCCATTAGCATGGTGGGGAGGAGTATTTATGTCCATGCTGAGTACCTGGGGTGCAGTCCCCAAGGAATGTAGTCCCACATCTACAAATAAATGAAGTCTTCATGCACAGTCCCAGCCATGTTGGCAAAAGCTGAGCCCAGGAGTCATGTCACTGCAGGCAGAGCAAGGCAGAGAACATCTGTCTTGGGGAATGGCTGAGGAAGAGGAGACCAGTAGAAGGATCTTACTGAGGTGAATAAGGAGTTAACTTTTGTTTGTTTTGGTAAAAAACAAAACAAAATGAAAAGCCCCAATACTCCAATTCAGCAACATCCCCTAATGAACTGCTGGTCAGGACCTGACTGGCTCCCTGCGATCCGTTTGTCTCAGTGAGCTGGAGGGCCCAGGAGACCACATGCCAGGTCGGTCCTCCAGAGCGAGACGGGGAGCAGAAGTGATCAGATCACCCGGTGTGGGAGAGCCTGTAAATCACCCGGTTAGTTTAATAGCGTGGACCATTATTCTAAAGCAGTCGAGCTGAAACCTAAATCCGAATGAAAATATAGTCAATTTGTCTATACTTTACTGACTGAATGACTGTGTAATGTCATGCAGCCCTGGAAGTGCAGGGAGCAAGCAGAGGCAATTAGTGGGGAGGGCAAAGCTCCTTTGTTTTCTTTTCTTCCACTTCCTCTGCAACTTGTAGCTGGGTGCCAGGAGATAGTCTTGTAGGGACTGAATGGAAAGTCCAATTTAAGAGCCGTTAGTAACATCCACACTCAGTTTCTACACCTCTTTGTAAGGGGTCAGGATGGGAACAGAAGAATCTTCCTTGCTGATTTTTATGGGTCTAGAGGAGCAAAACCTCTTCTTCCTGCTGCCTCTTGCTTTGAGTTACCACCATCTCTGTAGGCAGGTGCTGTGCCTTGCTCACTCCAGGCCCAGAGCAGGCCAGACTGAAAGGCATGGTGGCAAATATCAGGGGTGACTGAATGACAAGAAGGATGAGTGGCTTGAGGACTGGTCACACCCCTGCACTAGCCCAGGTCACATGGGAAAATAGTCCAAAATGGGGCTGTGGTCAGGGAAATGGAGTCTCTGAACATTCTTGCCTAGACTTTGAAGTTGTTTGCAAGTCATGATCATCTTGTGTAACAGCCAGAATCCAGGCTGGACTCAATGATCTTAAAAGTCTCTTCCAGCTGAAACTATTCTATGATTCTATGACAATGTCACTTAAGGCTGGCAGGAAATAAAAAGGAGAATGGAGTCTGCTAAGAAGCTTTCTGTAAAGTGCTGTTCTTGTGGTTGCTTTTCATACTGCTTTTTGTGCAGTAGGATGAGTGTGTTATATACATTAAAGACAGTATTTTGGTAAACTGCTTACAGTGGTCAGTGCTAAAGGCTGGTGTTCCCAGGCCACTGAGTCTTAAAAAGGCCATAAAGTAGTTATCCACCATCATGGAAGAGCATGAGAAAGGTTTCATGAGGACATAAACACCATAAGAACAAATTCCCTCACTTCTTTGGACCACTGCTTTCTTGTCACCCTTGCAAAGGAGGGATTGGTAGAGAGACTCCTGGAGTCCCTGAGTTTGTTGAAGGGTTAGGCCAGTTTGTCTTTCAAGACCATTCCACCACTACTTATGTACAAAACAGATTTTCTGAGATAGTCAAAGCACAGTTGGAGGCTCCCAAATATCTTTGAGAACCATCAGCTTTCTCTGGGTTGTTACTGCTTTTAACTGAGTAAACATTAATGCATATTGAAGGGAACTTATTCTTCCTTGGAAGAACCCACGCACTGAAACTCAACAGAGTAATGAATTTTCCAGTCCAAGTTGTGGGCCATGCCTGTTAGATCCGCAGCTGGGGAAAGGCAAACCTTCCTGATTAACGTAATGAGAAAGGAGGAGTACAGAAAATCTACAGAAGCTGTGCAAAATGAGCTGTCCCTCCTCCCCTAGAGGCTGTTCCTGGGAAGGAAGGGAGGAGGAGAGGAAGGAGAAAGGCAGGGAGTAAAAAAAGACTTGGGAGTTTGAGATCTGCAGCTGGGGGAAGAACCCAACCACAGACATGGATGAAACAAAAGGGAGAGCATGGAGGAAAACACAGGCTGAAAAATGAATAGTGATAGAAAGGTCTGGGGTGAGAGGAGTTCTAAAGAGGAGGCTTGCCCCAGTATCTCGTGTGACTTACACAATCTGTTTAACAGCGATCGGTCATGTTCTTTCCCTGACACTATCCGCAGCAGCAGCTCTGTGCTGACAGGCAGCGAGGATAAATGATTACTGACATATGCTAATCGGACAGTCTTAGACAGGATGTAAGAGGAATACATCAAGGTGGTGCAAAACACCTTTCTTGGTCAAAACTCTCCGACTTGTACAAGTAAATTAGCTTCAGGAAGTCACAAGGCTTCTTCGTTGGTTTAAACTGTGGTTAGAAATCAACAGAACGGAAAAAAACCAAACAACAAAACCCTAAAAAACCCCAAACCATCAGATCAAGGGCTGGGGCAGAGGGCTGAGATGCTCTTTGCAGGGTTATCTATCAATGCCAGATATGATTCTGGCCGTGTCAACTCCCTGCAGAGTTTCAGTGCTTTCAGATTTTCTGGTATCTCCTTTCCATTCCACTTGTGCAGATCTTTTCCCTTCCTAAAATGCCCCCTAGCTCTTCACTTGAAGTTTCCCTGAAATTTACACCACAAACAAGTACCCCAGAGCACAGCAGGATGCACAGATGAATTCAGGGAGATGTTCAGATCCCACTGCTAGAACAAGAAATCTTCACCTTGGCTCTTATTTGGATCAATTAAAGTAAGTGTCATGCACACCTGTAACCTGGCTAGATCTTTGCTCAGTCTCAGGGTGAATATTGTCAATCAGGTAGTTTAGGCAGGTATCAAGAGTGCAGGCTTGCTGGAAAGCTCTTATTCTTGGGGTGAAAATGCATCTTGAAACATCTGGTGTGGTTTGAGTTAGTTGTGAGAGCTGATAAAACGGCAGGCTACCAAAATGCAGGTGTGACTGTCCTGCTTGTGCAAGGCAGTTGTGGAAATACCGGCAGAGAACAAAGGCCATCCCAGTACTAACAAGAGATATAAAAAGATCCTTCTCATCTTGAGAAGCTCATGAAAGGGCGTACAAGTTAGAAAATAAGTCATTAAGCCTTTACTTGGGTGACTGCTGCCTCTCTTCCAGGGCTTATAGCTGCAGAAAATGTCCCACCCTGAAGTCTAAAGGGGGCTGATGTTTGAACACTTCCAGTGTTGGGACCGTTTTAGGGCTTGGGTCTCAGGGAGCTCCAAGAGTCTCACGTCTACCTTCATTGTGTGCTAAGGCTGTTAATCAGGGCATGAGGACAAGGTTAGAAGTGTCCCTGACTTCACTCAAGTGCTCCATACCTTCTCGAAGTGGGGCAGGTGCCAGAAGGACTCCTCCTTTTCAGGTGGTGGCTGTTTTCGCAGCATTGTGGTGCGAGTTTCACGCACTTTTTCTTTCTGTAACCAAAGGTAAGCAAGAATGGGCTGAAATGGCAGCACAGCTGTACACATCAGGTTGGTACCATGCAATGTAATAAAACTGGAATGAACAAGACTAAAAGTCACTTGGTGATCACAAGTGCTTTATCCAGGTAGTTGTTTCTGTCCACGCAGCTAATACTGATATTTAAAACATAATGATGAGAAACACCTGAGCAGCTGCCAGCTCTCCAAGCGTCTGCGTTATGGGACATCCCAGTGAGATGACCGCTGCCTGCAGGAAGCCCTGTGCTCTGAGCTAGGGTGAGGGCTCATCACTAGCTGGGAAGATCACTTCCAGCACCCCCACTGTGAAGGGTTTCCTGCTGTCCAGTGTGTGTTTCTCTCCTGATTAATTGCAGCTTGCAGTGCTTGATAGTCCCAGCACAACCCAGTGCAGGTACCTGGTGGGCCTGTTTGAGCTAAACCAGAACCAATTTTGTTCAGTGATTTTATTTTTCCAGCTAAGTCTATTCTAAGAGACTGCTATCTGAAGTTAACAGCATGTTTCTGCAGACAATGTCCGGTAGTAAAAGTGGTAATGCCTGATGTTTAGAGGTGCTACCAGGACTGGTGTCTGAAGCAGAAAGGCTCTTCCTTATATTTAGTCCTATAGACACCAAGGTCACTGATAAATCTTGTGCCCCATGGAGGGGTGCTGTAAAGTAAAAAGGTTGCAAGAAAGTGAAAGGTCACACCTTTGGACAAATGAACTAAACCTGACCATTCCATATACACTGTATTCAGTGTAAAGCTGAGGAATCACAAGGATTAAGCCCTCTTCTTCAATGGCTGATGTCTGGGGAGGTCTCCAGCTGTTCTTCCCAATTTGTGAATTCCTGAATCCAGTTCCTGTCTGCTGCTGAGTCCAGCCTGGGACTTCCCAGTGCCTGCCCTGCAGCATCAGTGGTGATATGTCAGGGGAGTTTTGTTATTGGTTTTGTATATATTTCATTATCCTAATTATTTGCTTAGTATTATTATTATTATTGTTTCATTAAAGCTGTTTTACTTTTCTAATTTGTAAGTCTCCTTTGGGAAGGAAGAAGGGTTAATAGGGAGCGTCTGTCATTCATCTAGTGGCTGGCCCTGTCCTAACCCTTGACACTGGTCAATGTTTTGGCCACTGTGTGAAACCATGGGGAATTTGCCTGCTCTGTGGTCTAGGTTTGTGTTGCTTAGCGCAGTAATTGCTGGCTGCAGGTTTTGGAAACTCGATGGAGAAAATTTGGTGATTAAAAACATCAGTCATTAATAGATAAGGTGGGGATGCACTTTCCAACATCCTAGGCTTGTGGATTCATAAAGTAGCTGCTAATTAAGAACACTCTGTTCTTGCACTTCAACTATAAAGCATAGTTTGTGATGGCAGTAAGCCCATTGAAATTGGTCATTACCATATTAACTCGACTCTTCTTTGAGCCATTAACTAATAAAACAGTCATTGGCTGCTTTTAAATGTTATTACAATACTGGTGTGTTTAACAGCACAGCGTCACATGCTGACAACTGCTGAGAGCGCTGGCATCAACCACACCACGCCAGGGTCAGGACTGGTGCTGAACGTTTTTTGGCTATTCTGTTGTTTTGTTCACTGTCACAGGTAACCTGAGCAGAGCTGGTGCTGTGCAAAGGACAGTGTGCAGGGCTTTTGGCATGAGGATGACATACATACCAAAGATATAATTTAAAACTTTAATTCTTTGTTGCAGCCAGGCATTTTACTATTGTGGCGATGCCAAAAAGCCCAGAGCTTCCAGGATTTTAGCTGGGCAACCCGTGACTAGAGGCATGTCGATGCAGACAGATGCTTGATGATAGCTAGAAAGGTGTCTGCAGAAAAAAGCACCTCTAATCCTTTGAAAGGCCTTAGCCAAAGCACTGCTGCCTGGCAGAGCTCACTCAGCTCCTGTGCATATCTTCAGGTGCAAAAAAAACTTTAAAAAACACACCTTCCCCTTTGTCTCTAGAGGACTGTCATGCACACACATTGTGATTTGCGTATTTGGTGTTCATTCCCACAGAACATGCTCTAGCTGAAGCCAGGCCCCTTGGCTGGGAAGCAGCTCATCTTTGCTAGGCTTCACCAGCCTTCTAGTCATCAGGGAGGATGTTTTTCCAGCTGAGAGGCATCCCTACAGCTGGGAGAAGTTAATCCCTCATGGGGTAGGACAGCAGGCGGCTTATGCCCAGCAGCAGTGCTGTGCCCAGCAAGGGAAAGCACTGCTGAACTGTTACCACCTTTTTCTTCTGCGTTCGCAGGGCCATTGTCAGGGCTCTCTGATGCTCCATCCACAGCTCCTTGTATTTGTGCTGAAGGAGGTCAAAAAAGGGAGTGGAAGGCCTGAAAAACATTGAAAAGACAATAATATAATCTCCAGGGTTAATACCTTTCTTTAAGCCCCCACGCTATTCTGCTCCTGGAAGGTGTGACTGGTGAGAACACGATTAAACCCTCACACTGGGAAAGGCTGTATCTTCCTCAAGAAAGATTCACAACCATGTCAATTTGCAGTTAATACACCACAGCTTGCATGTTTGTGATCACCTGTAGCAGGACTGTGCTAGTTCATTCCCCCAAACAGGCACAATTTCTAGCTTTGCACTACCTTTTATAGGGCCCATATTATCACCTCTGTTCAAGCCCTGGTGTGTGCTGGAAGGACCAAGGAGCACCAGACTGACACAGCCATGGTAGCTGCTTGGGAAGAACTACCGGGTACAAAGTGTGTTTTGCTAAAATAATACTGCTTTTGTTGTTGAAATGTCACTTCTGTGGCATACCAGAAAGCCACAAGCAGATGCAATGATGGATTGTGTGAGAGAAGTGAGTGCTGTCCTAAGCAACGTAAAAAGCAATAAAAATGGACTCAATGCAGATGGTCAGGTGTCTGCAGCAGAAAGGGGAGCTGAAATGCTGAGCCCTGGTCTACTGCCTCAGCTGCACCAACCAGATGTATTTGCTCCTTGAAACAGGGTATCAGGGAACATCCTGGCCAGGAGGAGCCAGCAGCAGAGAGGAGCTGCAGATGACCATGGTTCTAGAAAAACAGCAAAAGACGGCTGCAGTAAAAGACGGCTGCTTGTTGGCCAGTGTCCTGTTCAGCTCCTCTGAGCTGGCATTCACCTGGCCAGCTCATGGCAGAGCTGCACCCTGAAATTGTTGAGCCTTGCTCCTAGTGAGTGAGGATACTTTAACTTCATTAGCCTCCATGGGAAGCAGACCTGGCAAGTGGCAGCAGCAGGCTTCTTGCTTTGAGGACAGCATAGTGCTTATTGCTGTGGTCCTGCTGCTATTCTTTTTCCCCCGAAGCAAACACTTGAAGGGGATGAAGGACTCGGACCTCAAGTTGTATTGGTCCTTGTCTTTGCACAGCTTCTGGGGAGGGTCTTTTCCCATCTGCTCAGGAACCAATGACTATAGCTCACAGTGCCTTCAGCTGCAGCTCCTGTAACAGAAAGGCTGTGTTTTTCATGCCTGTCTGGACCAGCTGTGTGACACTGGGGACTTGGGCTAACTGCTGGGCTGCTTCTGGGCCACCAGCTCCAGCAGAAGGTAGTTCTCTGCAGAAAGTGCCCCTGTACCACAGAGCGAGCTGGTGCTTTGTGACTTTTGGCAGGAATGGTCCCAAAATTGGTAGCAGCCAGGTTTTAGCAGTCTAGAGAATCTCTGATGATCAAGGAGGGCACCAGCAGCATGTATGCAAATAGAAGCTCTTCTGTTTCTTGTTCTTTCACCCCTGTGGTGACTTTTATTACTTAATTATTGCACACCACATGCTTCAAAACAGCCTAATCTATGGTCGTGTTTTCTAATGATACTAGATGTGCAATCCAGCAATATACATCCCAAGGGGGCATTCATATCAGAGGAGACATCCTTCTGCAGACCTCCTGCTTCATAGATCACATGCTGCAGGGCTTTTCAAGGCTTTGCTTACAAATCAGCTGCGCTGCTCCAGACTTATCTGGAGACACCCAGTGCCAAAGGTGATGCTGACCCTTTGTCATCCACTTTTCTTTCCCCTCCTTCCCTTCCAGTTTGGCGTTTTGTACTGAGCAGAACTGGGGAAAATATTTACAAAGGGTAAAAGACGTGGCAAACGTGGTCAAGTGTCTTATTGTCCAAGTGGGTCTACAGTCTCATTGGATGATGTACATTTTGGTATTCCTGGCACAACCACACAGTGAGCCTTGCATGTAGACATGTTTTCTTGCCTGTTCCTTTGCCCTCCAAGGCAGAAGTTTTCCTGGTGTGCGGGAATAGCAAGGAGAGATGCAGGAAAACACCAAGCCTTTGTGCGTAGCGTTTGATTATTGATTTTTGTGGTAGCTGAATGTGTTTTCACATCTATATGGAGGTGACTTTTACCATCTCCAGTGGACCAGCCAGTTGGTGACTGATTAGTCCACAGCTGGCTTGTAAGTAAATGCTTGAAAGGACGCATTTGGGTTGATGCTCTTCAGAGATCCTTCCCTGCCGTGTGATTAATCGCATTTAAGTCCTGATCCAGCAAAGTATAGAATCATGCCTGGAATGATGCACGCATGAACTGCCTCTCTGAAATCAGTGGGAATGACTTGTGGGCTTAGTTACGCTCTGGTGGGGCTGTAGGACGTGAGGCTTCATCTGGCTTTTCCTGCCTCCTTTGAGAGAAATACTGAGGAAGTGGGGAAGAGCAAGGGATTTCAGGTAACACGCTTCTTTGACTAAGGTTACTAGAGAAATTTGAGTGAGGCGGCTTTTTCTTTGTAGGTCAAATGCTGGAGTGGATGGGGAATTTTGGCCCCGGTATCGGTGCCACTTGGCAGCGTGACAGTATTTCTCATTTGCAGCTGGCCTTTGGGAAAACATCCTCTCACCTTAGTGTTACTTAAGGACAGGAATGAATGGCTTGTGTGTTCTGTCACCCTGCCCAGATGTCACTCCTCTGAACTGGGAGGATTTTGGTGTTGTCTGTGGATGCTGTGAGGAGAGTAGAGGAAGCATCCGCTGAAAATGCTTATTGTGGATTAAAATATATCTCGTTCAGAGTAACTCAGATCTCCTTGTTTTGGCACAACCACCCTGCCACAGAAAGGAAAGGAAAAGAAGTTCTGATGATAGAATGTAACAAATTATTTATAATTGTGGAAAAAAATAGTCATCTGCTACCTTTTATAGTCAAATAGTTGGAGCCACTTCTTATGTTGACATTTCCTAAATATTTTAAAGTTTATTTGTGCACATTTTCAAAACTATTATCCCTGAAACAGCTCCTGTCTCTTTAATAGACTCTCTCTCTAATTTAGTTTCAAGAGTCAGGGTACAGACCTATTTTCAACTGAAATGACAAGCGCCTGCTAACTCAGTTATTCAATGTGGTACGCTAGGCTGCCAGAAATCTCCTGGAAGAGAAGCTGCAGCCTCCTAAGAGGCTCTTTTACTGTGAAAACAATGTTAAAAAGTATAATAAAGTATTAACAATATTAAAATAAACCAGTGTAGGCCTTAAATGAGCTACAAACTAGTTAAATCTATTCTATTCAATATGAGCTTTCAGTGCTTTGCAGCTGATACCTCGGAGCTGGGATTTATCTAAAATGAAGGCACCAGGGACATGCAAGAGAAATGGTAATTATAATTTGCAAACATTAGGCTGACACTTTTTTGTGTATGTGTGTATAAATTCTGACAGCTGTGATTTGTGCCATGCCAAATAGTGCTCCACTGAGCTGGGAAGGGCTCCCTTTCAGGCAGGCCATCCTCAGAGCAGCAGCTCATTAAAACTTTGGAGAAGGAGAAGTTGCCGAAAACAGGAAGGCGTCGGAACCATCTGAGGGACTCTTGGTACACGCTTGTTGAAAGGTGTTTGAGAAGGGAGCCTTGGGTCTGACAAACTGGAATTTTAGTACGCCTCTCCGTTCACAGTGGGGCAAAATAATTGGTCATCAGTGACTACTAATTTGGTTTAGTAGCCAGAGGCGTTTTTTTTTCTTCCCAGAAAATCAATGACAGTGCCGAGGTCTGTTCAACGTGATTCAGCTCAAGATGGGTCCTCATTTAGCTCTTGATGCTTCTTCCAGTGGAGACAGCTATTTTGTTAAAATGAAATTAAAATCTATCTATAATACTCGGCTCAGGGAGCGGCATCTGTCAATGCCATGCTGCTCTTGAGGTTTCAAGGTTGTCAGTCTCTCCTCAAACTTATTTTCAAAGCTTTATATATCAACTGAAAAAAAAGGTACTTGGCAAAAGTGGATACAAAGGACTTTGCTCAGGAAGGGGGCTTATATGAGCTTAAAAGGTGCAATCAATTTCACTGCTAAGCTGTGTTGTAAAAGGGTGAAAACTTGACTTGTGATTGTCTTTTTCTTGTATAATTCAAAAGCATAGGGGCTTGTAAATATTTTAGCACAAACTTCAGTCTTTGGATTTTCTGGATAGCTCTCCAGCCCGTGTGTTCTTCCTGCTGCTGGCCAGGATGGGCTGTGGGGGTGAGCGCAGGACACTCGCACAGGCATCGACTCCCCGGCAGCTGTGCAGATGTTTGGGCTGTGCCAAAACCACAGCTCTGATTTTCACGGCAGCTTAGTGGCAGCAGGATCTGGCCCTGCATGGGTGCTTATGCAACAGATAAATCATATAATTGAATCCTTTTACAGCTGTGATATTAAAACTGTGTTGCAATACCACTGCCTATGATGACACTTTAACCCTTTCTTGAAAGGTTACGAGGTTTTTGAAGGGTTTATGCTGGTGTCCTTTCATTCAAGCTGATGTGCTTTTGCTGCACAGCCAGGATTTGCCTTTGGGCTTTTCATACCATGGGGTAGATGGCTGCAGGAGGGACCACATTTGTATTCCTTTCTTGTCATGATGGGAAGGGTTTGTCCTGTGGTAGCAGTGTCCACATGGAGATCTTCCCCTGGCTCAAGGCTGGATCAGCTGAACCAGCTCCCACTGGCTCAGACTGGTTTCTTACTGGGAACCAGTTTGGTCTCCAGCATCTCTGGAGTGTGGGGCTGCTCAGGGCAGCCAGCACAGAGTATCTTCAGCAAATAAAGCACAAGCTGGGCTCTGTGATTCTGCTCAGGGCCAAGGCAGGCATCAGTAAGGCATTATCGCTGGGGTCCTGCAGCCCTGAAACGGGGCTGGTAGCCCAGGAACATTCCGACTGCGGTTCCCTTGTACTGCTATATTGTCTCCTTTCCTCCCTCATTACTGACGAGCCAGCCTAGCAATCTATCTACTGTTAATTTGTCTCTGTTTTTTATCTGGGGTATGATTACAGCTCTGGCCCTTGTGTGAGAGCCGGCACAGCCCCAGCTTCCCCCTGCAAACTGCCTGGCTCTGCCTTGCCT